CTACTACTACTACTACTACTACTACTACTACTACTACTACTACTACTTTTGACTACTACTGACTACTACTGACTACTAGTGACTACTACTGACTACTACTGACTACTACTACTTCTTCTTCTTCTACTTCTACTTCTACTTCCACTACTCCTACTACTCCTACGGCTACGGCTACGGCTACGGCTGCCGTCCGACTCAGAAATCACCTGTTACAGACGCAAAAGCACCGTGCACCGTCGCAAAAAACACCGACGAAATGACGCAGACCGATGAATCTAGCGATGCAAAAAAACACCGTCACCAGATACTGTCGCAAAAAGCTTTGGTTACTGAGAAGCCCTTGGGAAACTTGCACGAATATCAGGTTTGCTCTCGAGGAAATCTACAATGACGTCGGGATCAACTTTCCCGCGGCCGTGGAGGAGGAGGCTTCGCGAAGAGGAGGACACACAAAGCAGGAAGCCGAGACAGAAGGGGGCGGTTGTGGTCAACAACATGTGTGAGACTTAGGTGATCAAACCCAAACTGGACGGTGGGAAATGGATCTCAAATAGCCTGACCTCTTGTGAAATCAACAGCAGTGTGGGATGACTGACCTTTTGCTAATGCTTTTGAAAGGTTTTGAAAGGCACACCGAAACACCCCACAAACCCTGGAGGCATTTGTTCGACTCTATGACCGCTGCGCCGCAGATGACGCAGGCTGGGAAGATGTCACGTTGCGTCAGATTCGTACAGATTAGAACATATAGTCTCAAACCACCTACGTGCCCAAAAAATGAGTGTATCCAAAAGTCACAATTCGAGAGAGGACATGTCCTGGCGATAATGATATATGAGAAAGTCTGAGCTCACCTTTTCTTCACTTGGCCGTCATACAAGCGGAGGTGGAAGAGCCAGCGCATCAGGGTTCTGAGCTCCAGTACCCTTCTCTGGCATCGCCTTGCCATGGTACCGTCGGCGTCCTCCTCCAAGTACGTGTGGAATGCACGTGGGTTGTAAAGCTGTGGGTTGTAAAGCTCAGCTTCAGCTCGAAAAATGCCGGGCTGTTGTGTTGGAGTGTGGAGGTTTCACGATCTGGCCAAAACCACAAGTAGTCTGCCAGGGCTAGGTGAACATCCAAAAACCTACCTAGTGGCAGTTGGCATGATCAGGGGTTGAACAAATCACGGGACAACGGTTAAAAAACCTTGAAAGCAAATGGTCATTTTTCAAAATCACTTGGATAACTGCATATTTTCAGGAAAGGGATCTCAAACAATGCGGTGACGGTGGTCTGCTTGATCTTGGGATATAGGAACCCGGGACACTTTTCCACCATGAAAGCCTCGCACAGCGCAAGCTGCCCTGGCCGCTCATGATTGGTGAACCGGCTGCATACGTCTTGGAGGGCGATGGAGATGAAGAGGTGATGATCCGTGATGTCCAGGCCTTGAGCCGTAACTCTGGAATATCCCCTACTGGCGCAACAAGCAACTGAGGGTATGTGGGGTTGGTAGTGCCTTGCAAGGCTAATCCCCAGAGGTCGAAATTGTCGGGTGGTTGAGGGCTGTTCGCGATTTCGACGCCATTCTGGCCTTTTTCCGCGCATACTGCGCCAAGCACTCAGACGCTTGCACAGCTCATGGAGGTATTGGTGCAAAGGTTGATCGGGTGGGCAAAAATTCCGTAAATTCTCTTCTTGACCAATTCATAGAGACAACTTCCACTCAGCCATTGGCAGGTCCCAAAGTGTACCTTGTGCATGAGCTCAGCCAAGTCATCGGAATGTTGTGTACCCAAGAAGCCATTGCGTCACCCACCCCCCAAAATATCCAAATGTACCAACCAACTTGGGCTGAACCGCGGGTTGCGGTCTAAAACTGCAAGAACATTTTATAACACCAACAAGCTGTAGGTCCTAGTAATGCTTTGTATAGCAAGACGAAGGGGAATCTGCGAGGGTGGTAAGCGGATGGGGCATACCTTGCCCAAACACTCCATGTATGGTATAACTGGTTTTGTTAGTGTATCAGGGGATTTTGCATTTCCCCTATGGGTAAATCCCCTTTTGGTGAAGAAGTTGTTTGTTTTCGTGGTTCATTAAGCAAATCCAAGCATATATGCCTGCTACATCGATTTCGGAAATATCCTCAATCAATGTTTCTTGGCACAATATGAAATACGCGGAGTGTCTGGGTTAAGAAACATGTGAGGCGGCAAAAGGCGTATTATATATTCATGCACCAGGGGTCATGGCTGGGGTACGGGATGGTGTGGCAGTGTGGGATGAGCAAGGTTGAGAGTTGCAGGACCGTTTGTTTGGGGGGATTGGAAGGAAACCTAAGACTTCTCCTGTGAGTTGGTGCTCTTCAGGAAAACTTACGGCTGAAGAACCATGCGCAATCTTGAAGACCAATTGCAATAGTTGCCTAGATCTCAAAGGAGGTTCAAACTGTCACAGGGGGACCATGCACCTTTCGAAGGTCCGATTTGACCAAAATGCATGCACTATCAACGTGCATACCGATAGCGGCACTAGAATCCCTGCAACACTTCGAATCCCATCAATCGATTTTGCGCCAGGCCGGACTTGAAGCCCCGTGACACCGTGGTGGAAGTTCTTCAGGCTTGGATATTTCGGACTCATGGGGATGGGCGGAGTGGTTTTTCCCGCGCGGGTAGCTATTGCCCAAGTGACTCCCTTCACGGTGCTTTGCCCTTCGTGGCCCATCGACACCCATCGACCGCCCCCAGCGACGCCCAATTTCGACTCATGGGCGGAGTGGAGCGGAATCGGCAGTCTAGCTAGCTTTTGAGGGTCCAGTTGCATAGATCTGATGAGGTGGTGAATACATATATAGTCGACAAGTTTACCGAGTACATTGCAACACCTGGACAGGAGTTCTACAAAAGAAGGAATTGCTGATGGTGGGAAGTACATCCGGGTTGATAAGCGGCTGTGCAAGCAAGCTGGTTGGCGGGGATGACTTGGAATCGATCGATCGCATGATTATAGTCATGGCACCTGGGTTGCCCAGAACCCACCATGCAGGTAGGATGGCCATGTTATGAATCCCATGACCCCGCTTTTCCCACAGTGCGAGAGCTACTTGATGAAGGTGGCGCGCTTGAGGCTACTTGGCCCAACATTTAGCAGAGCTACGATGCATGTGCGGTGTACTACATGATACTACATGTCTATGTGTGGTGCACTTTTTGTAAGGTTGAAGGTTGCAACAAGGTATGCGGAGGACCAAGTTGTTTGTATGAAAAGTGCAGTCAACATGCATAGAGTTTGCAGTTGGAGTGTCATACGTTGCAGGATTGACATGGTGGCTGCGTGGAAGCGATGATCAGAGCAATGCGTAAGAAAAAGTGCTCGGAGGGCGGGTGGGCAGAGTTAGGCAGTTTAAGTAGTCCATATAGACATGCACTAGTTAAACCAGTCTCCCGGGTCCGCAGGGTTACTATATGTTCAGTTTGACATGTGGTGACTTGCTTTAGAACATACAAGCTGGAGACTCCAGATACTTGTAACTTGTAGAGTCTCATTAAAGCCAGACCACAAAAGGCACTCACCACAACGGAGGTTCCTGCAACACAAGAGGCACCAGCGCAGCGAAAGAAAGACTTTTGACATGATCCACTCAAGTCTTAAGTGAAGTATACTATGCATGCCAAGTGTGTTTTGTGTTTGTGGATATTTGTTTGACTGTCAGTTGCTGTAGAAGTAGATAGTTCCGTTTCATTCTTTGATTCATCTCCTAGAACCCATACCTACCTAGTCCGCAAGTTAGAGGGTGGATCACGCCAGTCCCCCCTTCCGAGCAGCTTAGAGCAGCTTCTTGTTTTTGCCCTCCAAGTCCACCAATCGAAATCGGAACGCTTAAATCCTGGCCAAGCCGCCCACGTCGCATCTCCCTCGCCCGCCACGTCTGGCGGTCTGGCGTTTTTCTATGCCGATGCATGGCAGCAGCTCCATGACTCGCCGAGTCTCGTCAGGATCCTCTTGATCTCCCGGGGCCTCACCACCATCACCCGACTGCAACGACGTCGAGTCGCCCGCATCTCGCACATGTCGCCGCGCCTCGCGGCGCTGGCGCCTGCACCCCTGTCGCCTGCACCATTGGCGCCGCCGGTGTGCTTTGGGGCGACGAGTTCCGGCAGCTCGATGAGAGATCACTGGGAGGAAGTCTTTGGGAGTCTCGATCTGAAGATGAACAGTTTTCTGTTGTCATGATTTTCTGGCCAAATCTTCAACAAGTTTTCAAAAAATCCCAGACGTTCCATGTTAGGGCTAAGGAATCCCCAGCCAGCCACACATTGGACATGAACGATTTAGTTTTGTTGTCATTTTCCTTTCATTTGGGTATGGTTATTGATATGGTTGTTGCTAGCATGTTTTTAACATTTGGTTTTCAGGCCTTCATTTTTTTCATTTCAGGCATAGTTATTCTCATCATTTTGTGTTAGGTTAGAGACAGAAAGCAACATGAAGATAGCAAATGGCAACCAAAAATAAATGAAGACATAAACGATGCAGACTAAGGCAAATGATAAGAAAATGAAGAAACACATGATGACCCAAATGCAGGACAACATGAATACCAAAAATGAAGAAAAATGATGATTTCTCGAGAATTCATCATTTTTCTTCATTTTCTTGTTTCTTCCACCTTTTTTCGTGAATTTTTTTATCCACGAAGACAAAATGATGATTCCTCGAGGATTCTTCATTTTCTGGATTGTCCCAGTCTTGTCCTCCTCTTGTCCTTGTCTTAGAAACAAGTGAGGAGATCAGGTATAGATGGACAAACCAATGAAAAAATATTGAAAGAAAACACCATGACCCAAAGGAAGATAAAATAAAAACAGAAAAAAATAAAGACATATTGAAAGAAAACACCATGACCCAAAGGAAGATAAAATAAAAACAGAAAAAATAAAGACATATTGAAAGAAAACACCATGACCCAAAGGAAGATAAAATATAAACAAAAAACACAATGAAAACATATTGAAAGAAAACACCATGACCTATCTAGAGAGAAAATGAAAACAAAACTATTTTTGCCACCTTCAGTCTGTGGCTGTGGTACTCTCTTAATGTTAGGGATCATTGGGCCACGATTCAGCGAAGTTCGGGGGGCCGTCTAGTATACTTGCGAAACCGTCGGGTCATCCCTTCTTTGTTGGAGACGAGCTTGGAGTGGGAGATGAATGCAACTTAGTTTGACCCAAACGTTCCCCAAAAAACCTACGTGTGGTCCCTCAAAACATCGCCAAACATATTGGGAGTGGAGACCCAAAACATCCAGAGGGTCCATGAGCAGCGGCGAGCGCAAAGCCATAATGGAAGACTGTTTGGGACATCCCAACGAAACCATCCATATACATCATGTGGCATCATGTCCGCAAGTATGTCTACCAACCAACATCCGAATGAATCATATGAATCCTTGGACCATCCTGTCTGGGTGTCAACCAAATCTGATAAATCCTTTAATTGCATCCGTTGATCGGTGTTGAAGGGTGCCACCAATTGTCTAGCTGGCGGTGCTCACCCCGCAGGGAGCGAGTTGGGAGCCAAGCACCGTATCCGGACAGCCCTCCATATTTATCATTCCAGAGGGAGCGACCATGGAAGTTCCCCAACCCCGACAGCTAGTTGTCCCAGATCATGTTTGAAAGAGAGGAAAGAATCTATAGTCCGTCCTAGTCCGTGAATGTTGGTGGCAAATAGCAAGACCATGATGTGGACCACTTTTTTGATCGTTGACACATCAAGTGAGGGTTGGCACTGCTTGGTGGACATGGCTTTTGCCTAGAACTTTGGTGCCAGTGCTCATGCTTCCTGGCCTTTTCTCATCAGCAACATCCGAGCCGCAGACTAAGACAGTCTAGGCTTGATGATGGAGGCTCGTCTTGTCCAGTGGAAGTGGGTCCTTTGAAATCGCCTGCTGGCGAAGCCCCCCGACGTGTCAAGGACATGTCAACTGAAAAGTTTCAACTTCCGGTCGAACGACTTCGGTCTGACCTGTGACCGACCCGACCCATCCAGCAGGTCACCAGCCTTCTGTTTGAAGCGGTGTTCCAAAAAATGAGGGTCCTCCTAGGAGTGGAACGGGTGCTTTTCAGGCCAACAAACAGTTGCAAAGATTGGCCTACAAGTTTGTTTTGTTTTTGAGAGGAGCAATGGCCCGTGCAGAAGGCTGGAGAGGCATTCCCAATCAGATCGAGTGCGAGTTGTGCCAAGTTGCGATGCAACCACTCAAAGATTCCAATAGCCTGGCAGCTTAGGTCTACGACCTGTACAGGCACTGTACAGGGGTATGTTCATCTGGGGCGAACCTGGGTATGTCTCTGGAATGTAGCAACCTACTAGCAATGGCCTCCAACCTAATAGCCATGGCCTCCAACCTAGTAGCGATGGCGAAGCAATTTGTGGCTGGTTTTCCAGTGCTTTGGTGACGAACCTGGCAGGAAAACAGGCCGCCGCAGGTCCGTCGTGTGCCGGTCTTCGGCACGTCCAACGGTTCGATCCGGACGGTTCGGACGGTGCCGGTTCCTCTGCAAAACCCCCCAGACACGACCCGGTGGGACTGCCATAGGACTGCCGATCAGTTGGGGTGGTTGAAAAGGGGTCTACTGTAGGCATATATGGCAGTTCCATGGAGTGTCTGGGACCTGTTTTGTAGAGGGGAAAATGGGTCATCCAACCTTTTTGCACTTCGATTGTTTCAGGGAGTGTATCCATTCCCCGAGACTTGCCCAGAGAAGTCAACAAGTCTTTCTGCCCAGTCTTGAGGATGAATCTTGAAATTTCCGGTAGAACTCCATGAGACTCTCGATGTTGGGCCATGGGTGAGAAGGACATCGAGACCCTAGGGCCGTGCAAAAACTTGCAACTGAGGGGTGATGGTGTCACCGAACACTCCGGACCTCTCAACCTTTTCATTTGAATAAACAGTTCTTTGGGTGGACCGTCGCCTTCATTGGACAACCTTTCTCTTCTTCAAACTCATGTCTCTTCGTCAGCGGGACTGTTGTTGCGGTCGCACCCAGAAAATGCATCCTGGATACACATATGAGTCGCACGTAATATAATCACATCATGAACAGTCAACAAGGCCACCACCCATCTCACTGTATAAAAACGATATCAAATTGCTATAACTACACACACACACACCTAAACCACTTCTATGATCTTTACATACCACCACTTCAATGGCTGTCCCTCAAAACCAACATGTCATCCTCTTTGCGAGCTTCTCGTTACTAGTAGAAATGGCCTCCAACCTAATGGTGTCCTTGCTACTAGTAGCATCCTTGCTCCTAGTAGTAAGGCCAGGAGCCCCTAATAGCGTCCTTGCTACAAGTAGCTAACATCAACGGGCGGCGGAAATCGTGCCCGGTGGCCCTCGGGACTGAGGCCTTTCCCCGTCGCCGGGGATCCCAGGACCACGTGGGTGGGTGGGTGGAAGGCGCCCAAAACAGGCAACAGTGCTCTAGAGCAGATGTTAGGTTCTGGTGGGGTGAGTTGTGATATGTTGTGATTCCCTCCTGCTGCATGGTGCTAGTCATGGTGCTCTATTCGTTTGATGCTTTCTTGAGATTTGGATGTATTGATTGCAGCGATGAGTCATGCACTTTAACACATGCAGTCCAACAAGGTCCTGAGGAAGCAGCATGTGATTTGCTGGCCACGTTGGACTTCAAATGTGGAGGTACCGAGACAAACAAGGTTGGCAGGGTCTGGACTGCCATTGAAGCGAAGACCGTTTCCGGCAAAGCCTCATCCCCGCACGGGACGAATGTGCCACCTGGGACCATCCAATCCGGCAGCATGGGTCCATGAAGCTATGGAGAGACGAAGTGGAAGACTGGCATTACAGAGAAGACCCAGAAATCTGGGGCCTTGTTGCTTTTGAAGATGACTTCCAGGGCAGGGTTTTCCGATGAAAATCAATAGTTTCCAATTCAATTTCAGAGTTTGAGAAGCAGATCTCTTGAGGATTGCTTGGAGCCCCCAGATGGTTTGCGACATAAAACTCCCGCACATGCCACGGAGACAAGCCCTGACGCTTCAGTTGGCATGGCTCTCATGTGACGAAGCTGTTCGAACGTATAATCTCTTGATTTCGGAAGATACAAGTTCGTCACAGAGGTCAATGCCACTGTCGGAGCATTCTTTGTCGGGATAGACTAATAATATCTAAGAATTGTCAATTGAGAGAGTGTGATTCATGATGGCCTCATTTCGATGAGGTTGGATGGAATCAAGCTTGATGCGCTAAAGGGGATGATTCCCAACCTTAGCACTCTTCTGCGAGACATTTAATGTAGGCTCTGACTCTTGATTAATAAAGTCCCCAAATGAAAACTGTTGATAGCTGTTTCTTTTCCTCGTACGCACGTCAGCGTGCACCTGGCATCCGGATGGAGCTTTAGGATTGGTTAGCAGGTTGCTTGTAGATGTTCTTGGCCCCTTTCAATGCTGCAATGGACCAGGTAGTGGGCCAGCCAGTGCTGCAAATGTTGCAAGCAGCCAGCTGGACCGGACTGAGGGTCAGAAGCCAAGGGACCATCGACACATTGAGCCAAGGAAGGTATCACCGTTTTGCAAGCTAGCAACACACCCTTTGGCACCTTGGTGTTCGCTTGGATACTGCAAGTCCATGCAACATAGGCCTCTTGTCGGCCCTGAAAAATTTAAGTCTAAAGGCTGCTGTGTGGTCGAAGCGGGGAACACTGAACTGCGTGTTCTCATGTTTTCTCCAAGTATCTCCAAAGCAGTTCAGCATTCCCACCAAATGACCACATGCCGAACTTCACCACCAAATGCCCTCAAAAGACCACGGAGGGTGAACCCCATGCCCACGATGACTCACTCCCTGAACTTATCGAAGCGCATGGCGTTTCAGGTCACCAGGAAGTGGCCCTGGTTCTTGCCAAGATGTCGAAGTCCTGTTACCAAGCGGTTGCAACAAGGAAGACTTGCAATGGCCAATCCGTCAAGGCTTCGGAACCCTGACAACACCAGGGTTCCATTCATGCCCAATTGAATTTCCCTGGTAGTTTAGTTGATAGGTTGATTTTTGTTGGTTGTTGATTCTGTTCTGGCGGGTGAAACACAGCCAGATGGACGTAGACGACGTCCAGTCGTGACAATGACAGGCTGGAAGGTGGTGATCAATGAGAAGGACCTCACCAAGAAGGTCTCAAGGTGGGAGCTTGGATTAAAACGATCTCGCCATAGTCTTGAACAAAAACATGCGTTTATATGATATCGTGGAGGAATCCTGTTTTGAATGGGTCAAGATATCAAGACTTTGATGCCCAGATCAATCCGATCCATTGTCAATTGTTTGGCACACTTCCGACGCCTTTGATGCCCTGGGTGCGTTTTCGTCATGGAAAAGCTTACCAAATGAAGTGTTTCTTTATGGTTTGGTCATGAAAGCGTCATAGAATGAACAACAACCAGGAGTCACATGTCGGGGTGGTTTTTCGTCCCCTTACGTGAGTGGAGTAGCTGGGCACCCCGACTTCCACCGATCGCACCCCGTCGGGGCGGGCCG